CCGCTGGGATGAGCTGCAGTTTGGAAGTCCCGAGCGGTACCACAAGGCAGCGGGCAGCCGGCTCACCTTGTCCCTGGTGAGAGGTGCCAGCTCTGGGGCACAACCCTGCCCTTGTGCTGCCGTCCCTCCCTGCATGACACCCCTCCCTGTTGATTCCCTACATGGCCCTCTGTTCCCTACAGAGCCAGAGCCCCACTGCACTCGTCCTCTAAACAGCCCTTCATCCTTACATAACTCTCCATTCCCTAGTAGAGATGCACTCCATCCATCCCTGGCATGACCCTCCATCCCCTGCAGTCACTGTAGTTCCATCCCCTACACAGCCCTGAATCCCCTACAGAGCACCGTACCTCATCAAGCTCCTGTGTTGCTCTCCATCCCCTCACAGACACACCTTATCCCTACATCCCTTCAGTGCACCCTCCATTCAGTCCTCACCCTCCCTATAGAGCATGTAGAACTTGCCCTAACCCTTTAGAGCCCATCCTGCACCATCCCCTGCACACCCTTGAGTGTTCCTGCCCTGCTGCGTCGGTGTCTGCTACCTTGCCACCCCAGGGTTCCCCTCCCTGATCCCCTCCTTCACACAGCGTGGCTCCAGCTATGGCTCCCTGATGACTACCCATGGCAAGTACCAGATCTTCGCCAACACCGGCCACTTCAAGGTCAGTGCAGCAGGTGGGAACCCCTCCCCTGAAATGCCCCAGCTTTGTTGGTGTGCTTGCCCTTGGCTGCACCCCCATCCCACAGGATGCTGGCACCTTCCTTGCCTCTGCAAATCCACTCAGTGGGCACTGACCTCTCTTCCTTCTCAAACATCCCAGGGCAATGTGGTGGCCATTAAACACATCAATAAGAAGCGCATCGAGTTGACACGGCAGGTGCTCTTCGAGCTAAAACACGTAGGTTTGGGGTCTATGCTGGGGTGGGCAACCTGCTTGGGGGTGCAGGGACTGTTCCTGGGACTGGAGGAGGCTGGTGGGAGCAGCAGCCCATCTCCTCTAACCTCGAGACCCACTTGGCTCCACTTCCACCTGCAGATGCGCGACATCCAGTTCAACCACCTGACTCGCTTCATTGGGGCATGCATCGACCCCCCCAACATCTGCATCATCACCGAGTACTGCCCACGGGGCAGCCTGCAGGTAGAGGGGCTTAGGGACACCAGGGGCGACACTTAGACACTCCTTGTGACCTGGCTGGGCTGGGCACTGAGGACAGGGCTGTGGATACTGGTGGCCCTTAGCCCTACAAGGCTCGCAGCCGAGCTGCCCAAGCAAGTGTCAGAGGCTGGTGGAGGGGAGGGGGCGAATGCTGCAGACCCCACTGCAGCTGGGTGCTTGGTGAGACTGCTGCCACCATGCCCTGGGTGCTTGGTGGGGTCCACTCATTGTGCTACCCCAGGACGTCCTGGAGAACGAGAGCATCAACCTGGACTGGATGTTTCGCTACTCCCTCATCAATGACATTGTCAAGGTACCCAAGGGAGGGGCACAAAGGGCTGGGGGAGGTGCATGACGGATACCAACTTCACTGTGTCCATCTGTCCCAGGGAATGGCCTTCCTGCACAACAGCATCATCGGCCACCACGGCAGCCTCAAGTCATCCAACTGTGTGGTGGACAGTCGCTTCGTGCTGAAGATCACCGACTATGGACTGGCCAGCTTCCGCTCACCCAGCGACAATGAGGACACCCATGCGCTCTATGCCAGTGAGTGCCTGCTTGGGGGGATCACAGGGATGGGGTGGCCCTGCCTCACTGCTTCACGGCTGTGTCCCACCAGAGAAGCTGTGGACAGCCCCAGAGCTGCTGCAGAAGGGGCACCTGCCCACCCCGGGCATGCAGAAGGCTGATGTCTACAGCTTCGGCATCATCGTGCAGGAGGTTGCTCTGCGGAACGGCCCCTTCTACATTGAGGGCATGGACCTGAGCCCCAAAGGTGAGGGTGGGAGGTGGCTGTGGGGCGGTTCTGTCCCTGCTTTGGAGGGTCTGGTGCTCACCATCATCCACCCCCTGGCAGAGATCGTGCAGAAGGTGCGTAACAGCCAGAAACCGTTCTTCCGCCCCTCCATCGACATTGGGGTGCACAGCGAGGAGCTGGCCGTGCTGATGGAGCGCTGCTGGGCGCAGGAACCAGCTGAGCGCCCCGACTTCAGCCAAATCAAGATCTTCATCCGTAGATTCAACAAGTGGGTGGTTGGCGAGTGGGAAAGGTGGCCCAGGGCGGGAGTGGGGACGGCAATGGGGGTGGAGGTGGTTGGGGGGCACCTCTTCTGGCAGTGCCAGCTGCCTGCACTCTGGCAGGGAGGGAAGCACCAGCATCCTGGACAACTTGCTGTCGCGCATGGAGCAGTACGCCAACAATCTGGAGAAGCTGGTGGAGGAGCGGACACAGGCCTACCTGGAGGAGAAGCGCAAGGCGGAGAACCTCCTCTACCAGATTCTGCCCCAGTGAGAGGGGGAGACAAGGGAGCTTGTGGGTCTGGGGTTTGGCATGGGGTCAGCATGCACCCACTGCTGTGTGAGCATGGAGTCCCTTGCCAGCTCTCCATGCTGCTGTAGGGCAAAGGATGTGGGGGAACAGTGGGTTGGAAGTGGGAGCTCACCACCATCCGCTCTGGTCCCACCAGCTCTGTGGCGGAGCAGCTGAAGCGTGGGGAGACAGTACGGGCTGAGGCTTTTGACAGCGTCACCATCTACTTCAGTGACATTGTGGGCTTCACTGCCCTCTCGGCAGAGAGTACTCCCATGCAGGTGAGAGCAGGGCTTGGGGGGAAGCCACTCTCTGGAGCTGGTGGGGGTCTCACACCCTAGCAGTGCCATCACTGGGGTTGGGGGGCCATGCCTGCTCCCAGCCTCACACATGCCCTTGCTCCATTCAGGTCGTGATGCTGCTGAACGATCTCTACACTTGCTTCGATGCCATCATTGATAACTTTGATGTCTACAAGGTGAGGGTGTGGGTGAGCCAGCCCAGTCCCCCACAGTGAGGCAGGCAGCAAGGAGCCCAGGTTCTACCTGCTCCCCCTTACCTCACAGGTGGAGACCATTGGGGATGCCTACATGGTGGTCTCGGGGCTGCCGGTGCGCAATGGGAAGCTGCACGCCCGTGAGATCGTCCGCATGGCCCTGGCCCTGCTCGAGGCTGTCAAAACCTTCAAGATCCGTCACCGTCCCAACGACCAGCTCCACCTGCGCATCGGCATCCACACTGGTGAGTCCCCGCGCCTGCTGGCACCGCAGGCCATCCGCCTGCCCCACAGTGTCCCTAAGTGTCCCTGTGCTGGCAGGTCCTGTGTGTGCTGGCGTGGTGGGTCTGAAGATGCCACGGTACTGCCTCTTTGGGGACACGGTGAACACTGCATCCCGCATGGAATCCAATGGCCAGGGTGAGCCACGGGGCTGGCAGCTGGGGTCCAGCACCTCAAGTTGTGTTCAGCTCCCTCACCCAGCCAAGTCTCTTTTTCCCCTGTGTGCTACCCAGCCCTAAAGATCCACGTCTCATCCACCACAAAGGAAGTCCTGGATGAGTTTGGCTGCTTTGATCTGGAGCTGCGTGGGGATGTGGAGATGAAGGTGAGGGCACAGGGATGCCAGGGGGCTGCCAACCCTTCCTGCTGTATGGGACATGTGATGAGGGCATGGGTTCAGGCTGGGACCCTTTATTCCCCTCAATGCTGGGGATGACACACAAGGAGCAGTGCCAGGGGCAGGGAGGTTCTCACTGCCCTCTTCTCCCTCCCAGGGCAAGGGAAAGATGCGGACATATTGGCTGCTGGGCGAGAGGAAAGACCCCAAAGTCGTCTGAGCCCAGTGGCAGTGGCGGAGCCCCCAGCCTCAGTGGGGCTGCCAGTGCCTTCCGGTGCCTTGACCCCCAGGACGCACCGGCACCCCCCTCACTGCATCCACCACCACCTCTGCAGCCCCCCTGCTTCAGCAGGGCCAGGGCAAGGTGGGGCAGCGGCCATGTCACCGTCTGCCCCCCTTCCGTCAGCACCAGCAAAGCCCACCTTCCCCCACAGCCCCTTGGAGGGGGGAACTGGCCCAGATCCAACCCTCATATCTCCCCCACCCTCTGGGGTCCTGCCATCCCTGCCCTCTCCCGTGTGGCTCAGCTGGCTCTGAGCTGGTCCGGGGCCTGGCTGCCCCGTAGGGCACTTTGCCGTCTCTTTTCAGTACCTGGCCCCAAGCAGAAGTTGTGCCCATGTCACCCTGTCCCTGGGGTGGGGGGAAATGGGGATTCCTGCCAAGACTGACTCCTTGGCCAGGTCAGGCTTCAATGCTGCAGCTCCCCCCCTCCCCAGTCTCCTCTTCTCCTGTATATAACCCCAGTGGGTCATGTAAATACCACCCCCTCCTCCCCCAGGTGTAAATATAGGACTCGCTGCAACTATTTTGTTGAAATACAAACTTCCCCAAATCCATCTGTTACCTGACCTCTGCTTCTCTCTGTCCTGGAGTGCCAATAAGGGGCAGGGGCTGGGGGCACCCCAATATTGAACTCAGCCTTGGCTGGGGTCAGCTGCCTGGAGCATCCCTGAGCATCATGTCCTGGGGCTCTGTCTGCGGCTGTAGGGTGGGGGGCCGGGCACGGGGGGCTGGGGCCGGGCAGCCGCAGCTGTTGAGGGCTCAGGCAGTGCTGGGAAGGCAGGGCTGCCGCAGCGGGGTTTGCTTTGGCGTGAGGGCTGCAGTGCGTTCCTCTGAGCTCATGCTCTGGCCGCCCTGCTGCCGCCTCTTACTGGAACACACCTGTGCCTGGGGACCGGGACGGCGGTTGCATGTTGCCTGCTGCGTGTGCCGGGAGGGGACATGTCCCAGTGGACGAGGGTGTGCCAAGGGCTCTCCCTTCATGCCCAAGGAGGGAGGCTTGGGGCCACAGCATGTTTTGGGTCAACAGTGACTTGCACCGGGGCTGGAGGGTTTCCCACTTGGCCCTGCGGGATTTGAGATCCCAGGGACACTGTGGTCCCCCTCCAAACATCCAGCCTGAAGACAGCCTTGGGGTGGCAAGGAGGCCGGGACCATCTGTGTCTCCTTGCTTTTTAATCCTTGAAGGTCTGGGGCTCGCTGCTCAATGGGTCGCAGGGGTGGGGTGGCCCTAGGTACACAGTGATGGGAGTGGAGAAGGTTGCGTTCCTCTTGAAGGGAATGTTTCTGCTGAAGAGGGCAGTGACACCCTGGAGAGGAGAGAAGGGGAGAGGTCCCTGTCAGCAGCTGAGACCCCTGGGGTGCTGGCAGGGTGAGGTGCTGGGGGACTTACCGGTAGTCCACGGGCTTGCTCCAGCCAGAAGCTGGTTGGCTGCTCTGTCAAGTAGTTGTGGGGCTGCAAGTGGAAGCAAAGTGACAGTGGGCCGGAGGGACAGCACACTCGGGGGGACACAGGAGCCTTGCAGCCTCCCTGGGAGCTGCCACAAGCTGGGGGGTGGGGGAGGTGTCTCCTGCCTGTACCTGAGTGATGGATGGAGGTGTGGGCTGGAAGCCCCTGGCAGCGTAGTCCCGGTGCGTGGTGGAGACAGACTCCATGGGCTGCGGGCGGGGACGGATCTCCTCCTCCGTCTCCTTACTGCAGCCAGAGCAAACACCCCTCAGCCCTGGGGTACCCCCCACTCCATGTCCCCTCTGCCAGGGCACAGCCCCAAGGATGGGTGTCACGCAGGGGTGCAGGCTTGCCTGTATTTCTCGTAGAGCATGGACGCCAGTGTGGCCTTCCGCAGCCCTGCAGAGGGGAAAGTGCCATCAGCCCCCCCCAGCTGAGATTCCCTCAGTGCCTTTCTGGGGGGCACACGGCTGAGGGGGGCTCAGTCTCACCTTGCCGCAGCAGCAGGGCCCTGTGTGGCGGGCGGTAGGTGTCCGTGGTGGAGCTGTCAGTGAGCGAGGACAGGAACTGATGGAGTGGCAGTCCATGGAACCCGCGGTGGTGGGCGGAGTCCTCACTGCCTAGCTCCTGCCCCAGCCCAGAGTTCAAGGGGTCCACGACTTTCTAGAGATGGACAGTAGGGGCTGTGGAAGGGGGTGGGAACCCACCCTGCAGTGCCCCCCATGCCTGCTCCTGGCTTTTAGGCTTTTGATAGCCCCAGAGGCACAAGCTGCAAAAAGGGGTCACAGTCCTTCCAGCCAGCTCCCTGGGAACGCTGGAGCAGGGACACCTGCAGCTTGGGTAGGGCTGACCTCTCCTGCCTGCTGGAGGTCTGCTGACCTTGTATGGCTGTCCCAAGCTGAGGGGTGCCTGGACTCCCCCTACACTGGGCAAGCTCTCTTATGACACTTGAACAAACCACGGGGTCCCCAGACTGTGGCACAGTTTGACCCATCAGGTGCCCCCCAAGCCTTGCTTGCCCCACATCTCTATGATCAGCTGTGACATGGAACTCCTGCCCGCCAGCAGCAAGATCCCAGCTTCCCTCCCAAAGCCTCACTGTCACTCCCCACGTGCCTTCCCGTGCCTTTTGTGCTATTGAATTTCATCCCCTTTCTACCCACTGGGCTCAAGGTCATCTGGGAAGTCCTGGCTCAGCCAAAGGTGGCTATCTAAAGAGAGGGGTCTACCCAGGAGCGGGGAGCATCACCGAATCAGCATGTGGGATACGGTAGGGCCAGTTGAGGGCCATTTTCCCTGATGGAGTTACCTCCCCCAGCCAGGTGCGGATCGCGCGGCCCCGTCGGGTCACTGGCTGGCTGGGCTGCTCTGCTGGCTTTGGTGGGGAGAGGGGCTCCACCGGCACCTCCTCGCGACACGTTCCCCACTTTCCAAGCCAGGGAGGCAGCTTGATCTCAGAGGGATCATTCCCAGTCTCTCGGGCTGGCTCAGGGCTGGGGACGGGTGGCAGAGCCTCAGCAGGCGGCTCAGTGGGCATCTCCGGCACCTCGGCTATGTCCGACATCTCCTGGAGCCTCTTGGCGGTGGCTGTCAGTGGCTCCTCATGGCATGGAAGCTTCTCCATGGGCACATCAGGCAGGCGGATACCACCCTGGACCCTGCCCAGGCACGGTGACCTCTCCCCAGGGCATGTGGGACCCACATGGCCCGTCAGAGCTACCCTGGAGATGAGAGCAAACCCTGAGGAAAGGCAGCGGGGCACATCCTTCAGCCCCTCATTACCCACCACATCCCCAGCCCCCACCAGCACGGGCAGGGTCCTGAGGCGAGGGACCCGGGGTCCCCTGCAGTGTCACCCCCACACTGGGACAAGGGACAAGGAGGGATTTCCCTCCGTTTGGGGGACAGAAGCAATGCCTGCTGCTGGGTCTGCGCTCCGGAGGGGTCTCCCCCTCCACAGCTCCCTTCTGCCCGCTTGACCTCCTGCAGCAATATCCTTCCCGCTGTCTCCAGCCGGTATTCTGCCCCTCATATCCACCACCCTCCTCCCTTATCCCCCCCTGCTCCCCCCTAATGCCCCACAGGCCGTGCCCCCCAGCTCTCCCCCTCGGGGGTCACCCTGAGGGGTCTCGGTGCCCCCCGGTTCCCCTCCCGGCCGCACCCCCAGGAGGTGCCGGCTCCCGGCTCCATGGCGCCTGCGCGGGGGGCTGGAATGCGCCTCTCTCCATGGAGACGACGCGCGGCGGCCGCGTGCGCGCCTCCCATTGGCGGAGAGCACGGAAGGGGCGCGGCCAGAGCCCGTTATGGGTGGGGGCAAGAGGCGGGGTCGGATTGGAAAGGGGGCGTGGTCATGGAGCAGTGGGCGTGGTCAGGGATGGGGTGCGGGGGAGGGGGAGGGCAAGGAGGTGTGGGGAGATGGTTCAGGGAGATGGGGGTGAGGAGGGATGAGGAGGGATGAGGGTGCGGGAGGATGGGAGTGCAGGGGTCGGGGATGCAGGGGTGATGGGCGGTGTGGGGTCACGGGGGCGCAGGGGGGTTAGGAATGGGGGGAGATGCCATGCGGCGATGCAGGTGGACGGGGGTGCGGGGGCACCGGGGTGCAAGGATGCAGAGATAAGGGGGTGCTGGGG